GTGGAAATGCCCCGCCGCGGGTCAGGCGGAGCGCAAACAAAAGTTTCCAGCGGTTGCAAAGTGTAGATGGCTGGACTGAAACAAAGTCTTAGGGATGGGAGTTCGTTTCTCAGAAGGGAGCGGAGGACGAAAGAATGCTGCCCGCAGAGCTGGGCAGCGCGTAAAGCCCCGGCGTGTGATTTGAGCTTCACTTCGGAAGACCTAATAATTAGCGATTCTCACTGAGCTAGAACGCGGGCTCGGGTTACCGCGGGCGCTGCGCTCGAAGTCTCGGTGGGAAGCTTGTGGGCTCCAGGGGAGCTTGGCCGCTCAGCGCCGGGGCGAGCAATGCCGGACCACTCTCCTGCCCTGGGACGGCCCAAGCCGGGTGCCAGAAGTTTCTCCGAAGTGGGTCAGGGAAGGGACCACCCCAAACTCAGAATAACCGGTGGTTCCGCGGGGCGAAAGTTCCGAAAGCCCAGCTCCAAGCGGCCGCGCACTCCAAGGCGGACGTAGGCAGGGCACAGGGGCACTGGCCCGGGAGGCCTCTGCTTCAGGCCGGGGCTCGCCCCTCGCTCCCACTTGCGCCCTGACTCCTTCTCTCTAGACTTTCCGGGAGCACCTTCGGAGGACGTTTGTACCTCGGGCACCTGTGACAGGTGCTTGGGCTCACGGCCGGACTGGGAGCGGTGGCCGCCCCTGTCCACCTTGCCTGGGAAGCAGCGAATGAGAGAAGTGGCCAACCGGCCGGGCGCCTTACCTGGGCCTGGGTCCTCTCCTTCCCGGTTTCCTTTCCGGAGCTGGGCGGCAAGCAAGTTGCCCGCTTCGCAGTAGGAAGTGGACCTTCTCCTCCAGTCATAAATCAAACCCAGTCATCCTCGGGCCTCCTCCCTCATTAGAGATGTTTATTGGAGATCGTGTTTATTCGGCTGTCACGACGAGAAAACGCAGTGACATAATTACCTCTGACCAGAGTCCTCTCCCCGCGCCCAGGGCGAGCTGGGGACCTCCTCTGCCGCCTTCTCACTCCCGTGCCCTCCTTCATCGGAGGGCGTCTGTGGTTGGCTTGTCCTTTTTTCTCAGACCCTCTCATATAATTTGGATTATTGAACGACTTACTATTCAAATTTCCCCAGGGCCTGGGCGTTTATTTATTTATTTTAGAATCTGAAAGGAAAACCGAAGGAACCTAACACCCCTCCAGGGCAGAAGGGGGCAGCGCGGGAGAGACGGAAGGAGAGTCCCTCTCGCTGCGCTGCGCAAACTTTCCGGCCCGCCTGGCTGCTGCGCGCGGGGCCCAGACGCCACCGGGCGCCAGAGGCGGCCTGAGCAGCGGGGAGCTGACAGGGAGGGTTGGATGCCGAAATTGGCGGTGCTATTTGTTGTTTTATTTTTCATTCTTTCTCCTCTCCCGGGCCCCAGGTCGAAGGTTCTTAAACTCTCCCCAGACGAACTCCGCGAAGCCAAGCCGCAGCTTCTCCCCGGCCTTTCGCCCCTCGGCTACAACCCCCACCCCCAATTCGATTCCCTCCCCCCAACCCAACTCCCCCACCCTCACCCCTCCCTCACTAGCCAAGTTTGTAAGTCACCATCTAGGAGTCAGAGTTAGAAATTAATGAAAAGCGCCAAATTGTTCTCTAATTGAAATTTTTTTTTTTTTTTTTTTTTTTTTTTTTTTTTTGGTGACCGCACCGACAAATATCTGGGATCCCGGCTTTTGATCCCTAGTTGCCGCCTCAGTCTCCAATCGCTAATAAAACTCGCATTGAGCCCTTTAGTGCCTTGATTAACAGGCAGATTAACTCTTACTTGGGTGGGGAACAGCTTGTCCCAATCAATGTCATTTTAAAAGCCCCATACGCTTAGCTCCGGTTCCCTGGCTACTCCAGCGAGCCAGCCATGACATTTGCTCCCTCCCCCTTCCCCAGCCTCAAATCCTCCAGCAGAGACCCCAGTTCCCAGCCTGCCTGTTCCCTGCTTCACTCCAGGACAGATTGTAGGACTTGGTCCCTGGACTTTAAAATAAGCAGCTGTTTAAAGAGAGACTCTCCAAGGGAGAAAGGACTAAGGTGGCCTTGGCTTGCTTCTCATTTAATGCTGAACTCTTGCCTCGAGGGAGGAGGTTACAGGCAAAGGAGAGATGGGGAACCATCCAGGGTGACGAAATGGAAAGCAAACTTTCCTGAGAACACAATTTTCAAAAATCAGAGAGCACTAGTGCTTTTCAAGTATTCTACACACCAGGAGTTTTAAACGTGGTCCCTGTCTGGACAATAACATATAGGGTCTGGGAAGCAAAGGCTTGGGAGTCCTACCTGCGTGTAGGCTGTAGGGATCTCTTCGCTGGGAGACCCAGTTGGACAATGCTTTTTTAAAAGTATTTTTCCGACAGGGGGTTAGGAGAGGAGAAAAAGAGAGACTCTTGCAGCCTAATGTGAATGAAAGAAGACTGAACCCGGAGAGCGCCCTGACACACTTGTCATTTGGCAGGAGGCGAGGAAGGGCGAGAGCCCCACGGCTTCCGCGGTGCCCAGCGTGGCCACAGCCTCAAAGCGCCACCCTGCAGGCTCCCGGCTCTCCCCGGCTTTCCAGCGCTCTGGCCTCCGTGAGGCTGCTGGGTGAGCTGGAAACCCGCAGGTTGCTGGAGAAAGGAGAGAAAGACCCTGAGTGGAGGAGGCACCCCAACTGGGCAGCAGGGGTGGGGGGCCTTAGTCGTCTGTGCTTGTTTGCCCTGATTCATCAGCTCTGCTATCCTGGGAGCCCACCTCTGCAGAGACAGAGTCGTCTGAGGCTCTGAAGAGTGAGCAGGTGTCTGGCGAAGACTTTCCTCCTTCAAAGAAAAGCTCCTCTCCACCCTTCCCTGCGCGCCAGCACTATGCCTCTGCTTGGCGGTGGAAAGCCACAGTTCCGAGGTGTAGCAACACCGGGTGGGAGACTCTGGGTTCCGAAGCCGGGAGCTGAAAGCACATCCGTCAAGATTCAGACTCGTCTTTGCCTTGCCAGAGGCCGTCTCTGGACCGAAAATCTGGGGAGAGGGGACAGGCAAATGCCAGGGGCCGCTGGGGCTGAGACGCTGCCGGATCTCGCACTTACGAGCCAGTACTGGCCAGAGGCTCAGGGCAGACTCGAGTGAGTGGCGATCGCCCAGCGTGACTCCCTCGGCACGGACAGCCTCCCCTACCGGGTGGCATGACCCCAACGGCCCCTGCACGAACAGGCCGAAAAGACGTCCCTCACGGGCGCCAAAGGGCGGGGGAGCGGGAGTACCTGGCGAGAGGCGGGAAAAGGAGACACAGAAACGGAAGGCGCGATTTCCCTGCCCTGGAGGGCAGCAAGTGGGCCTTGGTCCTGCAGCAAGCCGCAATTAAAATGGCGACCTGAGGGTTGTCTCCGTTTTACATACACCTCTGGCCCTGGCGTGCTGCCTCCGTCCCAGCTCCGCAACCCGCCGCGCCGCGACCAGAACAGGTACTTGGCAGAGGGTGAGAGGCGCCCCACCAAGTAGAACAGCACTCCCACCTCCTTGAGATTGCACAGACTCTTTCCCTCCAGGGAGAACAGGAAATCTTGCCCTCCACCCCTCTCTCCTTAAACTTTGAAAACTCTGCCTCCCTCTGGGCTGGGCTCCCCCCCAAAATATTGACACATTGGAAGCAGCCAAGTCCTTTTTGTTTCTTGTTTGTGCAGAGGGGTTTCCAAGAGTCCTTCCCTAGCCCCCACCCCCACCCAATGACGTCAGTGGCATTCACTCCCGGCTCCTTGCCTGTTATGATTTTATGTTGTTAAAACTTTTCTCTGAGGTGAAGTGGGGGTTGAGGGATGGGAGAAGGAGCTAATTCAAAGAGCCAGTGCCCTGGGGGGAAATAGCAACAAGATTATGGCTGCTTCTTTCCGAGGCAAAGCTTAAGAAGGTGCTAATCCACTCGGTCACTAATTGAAAGGTTGTAAAAATGATATTCGCCTCCAGTTCGGACGTTCTCTGGGCCTCTTCCCCCCGCCCCTTGCTTATGCCCAATGGACTTGAGTTCAAGCTTCTTTAAACACTTGTTTGAGGAGTAAAACGGAAGAGAAAAATGCAGATTCCTGCTGGTCTGGGAACTGAGCCTGCTGCCCCACTTCCTGGGAGCCTCTGAAAGTCGCGGTCCTACGAATTCTCGCACAGGAGGCCGCTGACCCCAGCTCCTGGCACCACCTCCTCCGCTTCTGGCCTGGGCTCCCCCCAGGGAGAACCCCCCAGGTTCTGAGTGCTCCTGGGCCACGGGAAGGACCATCCCCAGGTGGAGATGGTCAGCAGGTTGTGCAAGCCCAAGCCTGGTCCGGTCAGAGGACGCCCCATTTCTCCGGAGTTCTGCCCCGGCTCCTTGGTCGTGGCATTAGTGGGTCCGGGTTGGGGACAACAGCGTGAGGCCCACACTAGGCCAGCGGCCCATGGCAGCCTGCAACGTCCTCCTGGTCCCAGCTCCCAAGGATGGGCAGCCCCATGGCCTGTCAGCGGTGAGTTCAGGGCACATACACTTGGTTGATGAGCCTGACTTTTGGCACTTTTCTTAAGTCAAGAGGTGTACCAGGCGCGGCTTCGTTTCAGCCTCCCTGCATCAGCTATGCCATCCCCATTCTCCCTTGCTGGGTCCTGGGGTGTGTCCCCCATCCCAAACCTTCCACCTCCCCTGCGACTGGCCCGCAAGCTCCGAGATAACTCCAGACTTCGCAGGACTAGACAGCCGCTCCCTCCCCTGTCACCTTAACTGCGTGCGCCAAGGGGTGCCTTTGGAGTGTACTGAGGTGTGTCCTAATCGTCCGGCATTCAACAAATGGACTTCTGGTGTGTGGTCAAAAGAGAAAAGCCATTTGCTTACTTTCCTCCCCGTTTTCTGGCAACAGCCGAAGGGGAGCTACCTCCCAGGACTGAGCAGACCCTGGAGAAGGAATTGCTGTGTGGAGCCCCACGCATTGCACACAGATAACCAGTGGAACACATCGACACACGCTGACACACGGACATCGCTGGCGAGGACACACACACGACTCTTCGCCAGCGTTGGTCATCTTCCTCCACCCCAGGCCTCCACTACCCCTCCTCTCCTTTCATCTCCCCCTCGAGTCCCCTCCTCTCAGGCTCCTGGAAAAGCAGCCGCACTTAGTCAACAAATGGCACGTGGGAGAAGTTGGTGAGTGTTTGGTAAGGACTCTTCAGGGCTTTTCACAAGAACCCTCTGTACACAAAGTAAGTGGCGTGTTTGCTCGGGCCTCTCCAGCCCCGGCTGTGCCTCCGCTCCGCTGCGCACTGCGGCTTCCGAAAGGAGAAAGGACCGAAGAAAGGGCCGGGGGAGCAAGAGTGGGGGAATGGGCAGGCCCAGAGGCCTGGACTAGGGAGGCCGCCGGGCCTCGCCGAGTTCCCAGCCAGGCGGCCTCGTCTCGGCCTAGGCTTCGTCTCGGCCTCCGCCGGAGTGTTGCTGCCGGGACCCAGTGTCGTTCACGCCCCTTTTCTCTTCTTCTTCCCTGCGGCCAGGTGGGCTGAGGCGCGGCCGCTGCGGTGCTCCGCGTCCCAGCGCCCAGGCGGGGACGAGGTAGGGCGGGAGGGGAGGGCGGGGGCGGGGCGGCAGGCCACGCTGAGCTGGAGTTGGCAAGAAAGGGCTGCGAGAAGCTGCAGAAACTTGCTCCCTCCACGAGCTGGGAGTCCCGCGCCCAGCTGAGGGGGGAGTTGCGGTGCCCGCCGCCCAGCGGCCTTCACTCGACCCCTCAAGTTCGTGGCCACAGTGCGGGCAGCGCTGACTCCCGGAGTGCTCGGAGCGTAGAGATGTCGGCGAGCGCCAGCTCCAGAGCCCGGGCTCGGGGGCCCAGCGCCGGGGAGAGAAGCCGGGACCCACCATCGAGCCGAAAACAAGTGTATTCATATTCAAACAAACGGACCAATTGCACCAGGCGGGGAGAGGGAGCATCCAATCGGCTGGCGCGAGGCCCCGGCGCTGCTTTGCATAAAGCAATATTTTGTGTGGGAGCGAGCGGTGCATTTGCATGTTGCGGAGTGATTAGTGGGTTTGAAAAGCGAACCGTGGCTCGGCCTCATTTCCCGCTCTGGTTCAGGCGCAGGAGGAAGTGTTTTGCTGGAGGATGATGACAGAGGTCAGGCTTCGCTAATGGGCCAGTGAGGAGCGGTGGAGGCGAGGCCGGGCGCCGGCACACACACATTAACACACTTGAGCCATCACCAATCAGCATAGGTGTGCTGGCTGCAGCCACTTCCCTCACCCACACTCTTTATCTCTCACTCTCCAGCCGCTGACAGCCCATTTTATTGTCAATCTCTGTCTCCTTCCCAGGGATCTGAGAATTGCTCTCACACACCAAACCAGCAGCGTCCGTGGAGAAAACTCTCACCAGCAACTCCTTTAAAACACCGTCATTGCAAACCATTGTGGTCTTTAAGCAACAACAGCAGCAAGCAAAACCCAACCAACCAAAACTCTTGACAGGAGCTTTGACGAGAGAGGATGCCTCATAAAGGTGAGTCCGCTTCTTTCTTCTTGCTTCATTTTTATTGCAATATTCAGGCAGGTCTCCCCTTTTCCTCCCTCCTTCCTTCCTTCCTCCCTCTGGCCGGTCCCCTCCCCCACTGCTACGCCGGGAGAGTTGGGCCGGAGAAGTTTCCACGCAGGAGCCCAAACTTTCTACTTCCAGCGAAAGCCCGCGTCGGAGGGCGACAGCCGGCCAGCGGGAGCGGCGCAGGGCTCGGGGCAGGCGGCCGGCTCAGTCCCAGCGCCGGCACGAGCTAGGCTCGCTGGAAGAACCGAGGTTCCGGGCGCAGCAGCAGCCGCGGCTCCCGACCCCAACGTCGCCAAATGCCCCCGGCCGGCGGCAGAGGACGAAGAGGCTCTGCGGTGCCCCAGGCCCGGGAACGGCTTTCGGAGACCCGGCTCCGCCGGCCGCTTTGTCCCGCCGAGGGCCCAGCGAGCGCGCACAGAGCGAGCGTGCGGAGGGAGCGCCAAGGAGCCAGCTCGCCGCGCCGCCTCCCGCCCGCCCTCCGGCTTTGTGCGGCGCTCGGCTCGGGCACCGAAGAGTCGGCGGGCACTCGAGCGCCGAGGGGTACCGCGCCCGCCGGCAGCCGGAGCAGAGTCAGTCGGCAAAGGCAGCCACACGTTGGAGGCAGAGAGAAAGAGCGAGTGAGCGTGAGCCGGGAAGGAAGCCACCAGGCCAAGGCGGGCGAACGCGCGCTCCGAGGGAGCTCAGAGCCGAGCGGGAGGATTGTCAGCTTCCATCAAGCCCCCAGGCTCTTGCCCCCAAGTTGAGCGTAGAGCTCGGAACTTGAAAACTCTCTGCTCCCCAGGCTTTCCCCAACCGTCGCCCTCGCCCTGCGAAAGCTGGGGTCTTCCCTATCCTCCAGCTCCCAGCTCTCGGTGGGTATTTTTCCTTGTCTTCCTCTGACAAAGCTGCACCCAGTGTTGCCATTTCAACAAGTTTCGAGGTGGAAAGGTGGATTGCCTTTTAAAAAAAAAAAAATTCCAGATCTCCTGATTTTTTTGTGAGGCCTCAAAAAAAAAAAAAAATCAATATGAAAGCATTGGCTTTTCCCTTCGTCTGATCACATCCTCTCCCAGCTAATTAGTCTGAGTAATTTGAGAGCTTTTCGATTCTAAGACCCCAGGAGGAAAAGTGTCTTTTCAAAGTTCATAAAGTTGTTGCCTCTTTCCTTGTTCAGATTTTCTCAGTCTCCCTGGATCATAATAGCCCTGAATTTTAGCAAGTGTAATTGGGGGGGAAATGGAGTTGAATTTCAAGTGGAAATGCTTTCTTTTTCGAGTGCTTAAACCCGGCCCTCCAGTCATGAGTGATTTCTAGAAAGTTTAAAAACAAAGTGAACGTGGTTTCTTTTTTCCCCCCTCATACTCTCTAAAGCTTCCTAAGCCATTTTGGATCTTTAACTCGAACTTGGGAAGGTTTGAGGAGGGGATAGGAGCAGAAAATGAAATGAAAAGCAAAGAGCTTGAAACCCTGGTGAGTTTACCAAGGAGAAATAGTAGTTGTTGCCGCTGACATTATATTTTTTATAGCCGGCGACCTTTGCAAACGTCTGAAGGCAATTTGATAAGTTGTTATCTTATTTGGCCCTAGAGAGTGAAACTTTGTCATCTTAATTGCTAATTACTCTTTGGCTGGGGGCCGGTAGGGCCCAAAGTGAGCTCTTCCCTTCACCCCAGCGAAAGAGTTTGGGATGGATTTTGAGAATTCAGTTATTTAAACCACTGCATTTGAAAGCAGAGGCTTGAGTCCGGGATGGGGGTAGTAGCATAGAGGACCAAGGCCCCATTGGAGTCCGAGGTGTCTGGAGATTCTTTCTTTCCCCGGAGTGAGTCTCTGACTGGACTAGGGCTGTAGAAAGCCCTGGGCTGAGCTAGGCTGGGGGTAGGCTCTTGTTGCAACTGGGGGCTTCTAGCCTCCCTACCCACGACTGCTTCCGGGTGTCTGTGTGGCCAGCTTCCCGGGTTGCTTTTGCTCTAAGTGTTAACGATTACTTAACTAATTAAATAGCTTTTTTAGCTGAGATGGAGGTGGGAATGGAGCAGAACTGGAACACGAAATGTTTCCACCTTCCCAGTTGCTTCAAAATTAATCGGCTGGGCCTCTTTGGAATCAGCTAGTGAATTTGTTTTTTTTTTTTAATGGCTTGAAAAAAGTCTGGGCCAGGATGGGGGCATTCAGTTGTGGTTGAGTACAGTGTGGGTCACAGAGTGGAGTTCAGGAAGTTTTACCCCTTCTAGGAGAATTCCACTTCCCCTTACCCTGGCTGCGGCTACTTTGCAGTTTCAGAATCTCACTTTGAGCTGGGGGAGGCACATTCTTCAAGAAGTTGGGGTTTCTGCCCCTCCTGGATCTGACTGTGGTTGTGGGGACTGAGAGACAGGATAAACCTAGCTAGAGGTAACTAGGTAGCCCTCTGCTGTCTCCAATATTTACCAGGCCACATTTGAAAGCTGGGAAAATTCCTCCTCTTAAGTTTATTTTTATGGATTTAAGCTGCCTCCCAGCTAGTTAATAAATTGGACCATGAATGGCCTTGAAGAGGAAAAATGTGCTTCTTGGAATTCTTTGCTTGTAGTCAGGCAAGATTAATAATCACAATAAGCAAAACAGAAAGAAAAGAATGAATATTTTAGTTTTTTAAATGGAGAAATAATGCTGTGACTATTTAATTATTTTACCTCTCTCTTTCTCTCTCTCTCTCTCTCTCTCTCTCTCTCTCTCTCTCTTTTTGCAAACCTTTTGAATAGGTTCTTTATTGTAACTCTCTCTTCCCAATTGAGCTCCCCACGGTGCCGTTGTATCTTTTTACAGCCCCTAACAACTCACACCAGTAACACAATTACCTCCAGATATTTATAACAAGAAATTACTTTTCTATTCTCCCCCCACCTTCTTTTTAGGGCAAAGCAGGGAGGGGGTGGTGGAGGGCGAACCTTGGGGGACCCGAGCTGGGTCAGGACTTACAAAGCTAGAAGTGTCTCTCTGTTCCCTTTGTGAGTTGGTGGGTTGTTGGTACATTTGGTTGGAAGCTGTGTTGCTGGTTAGGGAGACTCGGTTTTGCTCTTTGGGTTTGGGGAGAGCTGGAGAATAGAAGCCATTGTTTGCTGTCTGTAGGCTTTGTCGACCACGCTCACCCCCTCCTGTTCGTACTTTTTAAAGCAGTGAGGCGAGGTAGACAGCGTGTGTCACAGTACAGTAAAAGGGGGGAAGATCTAAACACCAAAAGAGAAGTTAATCACAATAAGTGAGGTTTGGAGGGTGGGGGAGTTGGGCTCGATACTTTCAAAGTCCTGGAAAGGCTGGGAGGTGGGTGGAGTGGGGGCCTGGCTGGAAAGCTTTGAGGGAGACAGTGGAAGATGAAGGGATAACCAGAGAGTTGGGTGCTGGGGGCCTTGGGGGAATCCGGGTGGTGAAATTCCTTAAGGAAGGAGTATGGGCTCTGCAGTCCTTCTGATCAGCCCCAGCCTGTACCCTCAGGCACCCTGAAGTCTAGAGATCCTCCTCCCCTCACCTCTAAACTTCAGGTATTAGTCTCTGGCTTCTGTTCCTAACACCACCGTGTCTCTTGCTCTCCCCTTTCCCTTTAACTGGTTCTTGATATTTTGCAAAATGGTTCCCTGACTTGTCAGATGCTCCAGTTCTTCCAAGTCAGACCAGAGTAGCCACTTTTAAAAGGTGGGGACTGCTGCAAGAGAGGCAGCTGGAAATATGGTTGTAACTCTGGGATTTAGGGTTTTATGGTATTTAATCCCTAGATGCATGTTTTGTTTTGTTTTGTTTTTCTGAGAGTGTGGCTCTGAGAGCCCATGGGCCTATGCTTTTGAGCCAAGTTTGACATACCTTTCTCTCCTTTTGTTTTGTTTTAGGGGGAAGACTTTAACTAGGGGTGCGCAGATGTGTGAGACCTTTTATTGTAAGAGCGGACAGACATCCCAGATTTCAGGCAAGTTCTGCGGTGGCTGCTTTGGGCTCCAAAACCCGAGTCAGAATACTTCTTCATTGTTGTTCACATGGAAGAAGAAAAAAAAAAATCAAAATTGGGTCATTTCTCCCGCAGTGCCTTTGAATCCCTGATTTCTCCTGATTAAAGAGAGTGAACTTCTAAGAGGTTTAGGGAAAACAGGTTGGGAATATTGGAGTATTTTATTTGTAGTCCAAAGGGTAGATTTTACATGCACTGTAGGGCAGAGAGGGTTGCCCCCCCCCACCAGTGGCCCCAAGTATTTGAGTGCATCATTTCCTCAAGAAGGGGCCTTCTCCTGTTCAGGCTCCAGGTCATCCTCTGTTGGGAGTTAGGCTTACCTGGCGTGGGCCCAGGATTAACACCTATATTCTTGCTAACAGAGCCCCATATTCGAACCCCGTGGGATCCCGCGGCCCCCAGCGAGCACCAGCATGCAGAACAGTAAGTGCCTCTGGTCTTTCTCAGACTTTGGGCTGGGGACACTGGGACCAGCGGGTCAGGGGAGGGCGCAGAAGTTCTCGGTGTCCACGCTGGCCAGGCCGTCTGGCACAAGGGAAGAGGCCCAGGGACCTGAGGCAGCTGTGACCCCCTTCGCTATCCGCAACCCGAGAGGGGAGGACGTTTGCTCTGCTGTTCTCGCTCCTGGAAGAACAAGGGCTGGGCCCTTCAGAATAGCCCGCTAGAGTTTGCGAAGCTAAGGTATAGAAACCCCATCCCCCCCAAATCCTGTAACTCACACCCCCTCCCCGCCCCTGCCCGGGCTCTGACCCCAGAGAGAGAGGCTGGGCTGAACAGGGCGGGGCGGAGGCTTCTCCTAGTTGTGCCAGAAGGAGGCCCCTTTGGGTTTAGCTAAGACTGAATGTCTCCTCCATGGGGCGGGCGGGGGCGGGGGGGGGGGCAGACGATGACTCCCCTCCCCCAGTCATTCTCAGGACAGCTCCTCCCCTCCCCACCCCAGCTTTGGGCCTAGAAGGCAAAAGGAGTGGGACACCCTGGCCTGCAATGGTGGGGGGTGGTGGTAAACTGGAACCCTGGGGTTGTTACTGGCCAGAGTAGGTTTACTGGGTCTGGAAAGAGAGCGAGTGTCGATCCTTGGGGCTGGAGAAGCCCTGCCCTGGTAGCTATGCGGGTTGCTCTGATCGGTCCAGGCCCGCAGTGCCTTTGAATCCCTGGCTCCAGTGCCTGCCATCCTCTCTGTGCCCAGGCCCCTTGGGCCCCAGCCCACCTTCCTGCTTAGTCCGTGAGTGCTGGTATGTAGCAGGCTAGTCTGGAGCTGGGGCCTGGGAGCCTGGAGACCCAGTGAAACTAGGCCTTGGTTGTGAGGTGCAGAGTCTGGAGGCGGTGTGATGGTTCAGCTGTGTTAGGAGTGCCGAAAGGGCTGTCTTCTAGCCACCTTCCCTTGCCGAACTGCAGAATTCGGAGGGTCTCCAATGCCCGATCCATTGGTCCTGGAAGCGCTAGCCGCCCCAGGTGCTTCCGGGGCTGGTGGGCTCGAAGCGCGCGAGGTGGCGAGCTTTAAGGCGGGTTAGCTGTGCAGAACCTGCCAGGCCCGGAGGGAACCTCTCTGGCGAGGAGGGGCTTCTGCCCACCTCTCCTGGCTGCTAGGTTCTGCCCCGGCAGCTCAGGCTCCCCGGCCATAGGCTCTCCGGCAGGTCCCGGCCGGGGGCGCGCAGCGCTGAGCGTTTGCCGCTGCGGCCTGGCTGGCAGGCCCCAAGGGGCGCGAGGTCGCGGGCCGGCCTGCAGGGCTTTGTGCCGCTCGCTCCCGGGTGTGCGCGAGGCGCAGAGCATCCAAATTGACACCATATGTTTTCCTATTAGATGCTTCGCGGTCGAATTCTAGGCGCATAATCATCGCCACTGGGCGAGAGCGCCAGCCGTCCCTAGGGAAGGGACACAATGATTGAGGCTTAACCTCTGCAGGGGAACTTAGAGCGGTGCTTCCTCGCTGCCTTTTCGATGCTGGCAACCTGGCCCTGGCGTGTCCCGGGCGAGCACCCGCGGAAGGCCGCTGCGGAGGTGGCGGGCACGTTATTTTTGCAACTGGGGGAGAAGGAGGGAAGTCAAGGATTAGTCGGCCTCACACACCTTGGCATTCATGGGTTGGGAATTGCCCAGGCTGCGTGAAGTTTGGAAAGTCTTTCTCGGTCTCTCTCTGGGGCAGCCTTTCTCTTTCCCGGAAGGCTCCCTTTGCCCAAAGGGAAGGCTCCGCTGCTGGAGCAGTAGCTAGGTCTTGTGAGGCAAAGGAAGGCAATAAAGGGGACTTAGCAGAAACCGGAAGCGGAGACTAGGCCTCGCTCTGTTGGAGAGTGGTGTCCCCGAGATGTCCCCTCTCGCGCTGGGCCCGGCCGGAGCCCAGATCCCCCAAACGCCTGTCACATCTCATCGAGTTGAGGCTCTGCCCCCGCCCACGACGGTGAGGGCCCCCCTCCGCCCCAAGCCTTCGGCTACCCTGAAAACGCGGCTCCCCTCGAAGGGGAAACGAGTGCAGTTCAATCTCGTCTGAGTGATCTACAAATAGGGACGGAAAGGGTCGTTTTATCACGGTCCCGTTTGTCGTGACGATGCAATTTCCCGGAGCGGAGCAGTGTCACAAAGTGACAAGGCTGCCACAAGCGCCCCGACTGATCTTTTCAATTAGCCTTCCATGCATGATCCAGAGCGACTTCCGCCTATTTCCAGAAATTAAGCTCAAACTTGACGTGCAGCTAGTTTTATTTTAAAGACAAATGTCAGAGAGGCTCATCATATTTTCCCCCCTCTTCTATATTTGGAGCTTATTTATTGCTAAGAAGCTCAGGCTCCTGGAGTCAATTTATCAGAGGCTCCAAGGAGAAGAGAGAAGAGAGGAGAGAGAGCAGGAAGCGGAGCGGGGAGCCACGTCTTCTCCTGGAAGGGCTGCTCTCTAGAGTCGGGGCTGCAGGTTGGAGATTTTTAAGGAAGTGGAAATTGGCAATCAGCTTTATTTGTGTGCCTGTGGTTACTGGGGAGGGGGCTAGCGAGAGGTGCTAACTCCTTTTCTCTATTCTCTAAGATTAGACAATGGGGGTGAGGTTGGGAGAATAACAAGATAAAGGAGGGGGTAGAAGACACTGTGGTGTGCTCCTTTCTTGTTCTTTTTGCTTTTTGCTAATATCTGGGCTTGGCTGTGTGGAAGGCTGAGTTGAGCAGCGGAAGTAAAGCGAGCTGTGGCCGGTGCGGATGGGCTCCAGGCTCTCGGCCCCAGTGCTGTAAGCCAAACTACTCTATGTTTGGAGCCGAACTGGGGCTCTGTACTGGATCCGCAGGTTGGGGTTCACCAGCCGCACATTTGCTCTTCTGGTTCTTCTCTACACCCTTCCCATCTCTTCACATATATACGTAAAGTAATGTAATATATAAACGTGTAATTTTTTTTCAACGCTGGTGATTGTGGCTTCGCCAAAGTTTGGAGTGTGACAGCCAACGTTTCTGGACTCTGGAGTCCAAGGGAACGTGAAGAGCTGTAGGATTTGCTATCACAGTTCCAACAAAGCAGAGACCTTGGAGACTGAGTGTGGGTTCTGCAGAACCCACGTTTTGCCGTGACATTCAGAGGCGATCTTTGGGAGGATATTTTTTGAAAGATTGTTTGCACCTTGTGGGCTCAGAGGCTGGCTGGGCTGTTTATGGAGAGGACAAGTGGGTTGGGGCCCGGCAAGAGTGACAGTAGGAATGAGGTGTGTGTGTTCTTACTCATTGGCATGTGTCTGTACAGTGCTTCTGCAGTCCGGTGGGCAGGAGCATGGCTGTGTTGGGCTGGGCTGCCTGATGCCCTGCGTGGTTGCGTGGTCCCGTGGCGTTTTTGATCGATAGCAGGAAACCGATTGCTGAGGTTGGCATGGGCTGGCAGGGAGCTGAGGATGCATTGTGGTTGTCTTCTCTTCCTCTTCCTCTTCTCCTTCCTCTTCCTCCTCCTCTTTCTCTTTACTCCTCTTCCTCTCCTCTCCTCCTTGCTCTGCTCTGCTCTCCTCTCCTCTCCTTTCCCTTTTCCTTAGGTCACAGCGGAGTGAATCAGCTCGGTGGTGTCTTTGTCAACGGGCGGCCACTGCCGGACTCCACCCGGCAGAAGATCGTAGAGCTAGCTCACAGCGGGGCCCGGCCGTGCGACATTTCCCGAATTCTGCAGGTGATCCTCCCGGCGCCGCCCCACTCGCCGCCCCCGCGGCCCTCCACTCTCAAGGCCCTCTCTTCATTTCTTGCTGTAAACGCTGCTAATTACAGACCCCCCTCACCCACCCCCCCCCCGTCCCTACCCCACTCCCCTGCCATCCCTGCTTTCCCCTTTCCTTCCAACATCCTTCCCTATCTCTTTCAACCTGGGTCAGTCACATAAGATAACTCATCTGCTTAAGGAAAAAAAAAAAATATGTGTGTGAATTAAAAAAAAAACAAAAGAAAACCCCAAGCACCCTTCTCATTTCATTTGGTGAAAACATTAATTGTGGTAATAGTTTATGAACTATAATGAGCTGAGTTGTATAAACCAGCATAATTTCATTCCCTTCTCCCTCATCCCATGCTCACCTCAGATTTTGAGATACTTGTTTGCATTCTTCATATTCGTGAAGAATATATATTGATTTTAAAAGGCAAATGCTATTTACCTCCCTACCTAACTCACGTTTACTCAACTGGGCATATTTTTTAAAAGGAAAATACGTACAATTTTAGTTTATTTTCCTCCTTTGCTCATTAAAACATAACACCACTTTAAGCAAGGTCAGCACAAAAAAATTAATCTGACTTCGTTTTGATGCATCTTGAGGCAATGTTTAAGAAAACAGTTTTTTTAAAAAAACTTTTAAATTAGTATTTTTTTAGGTCAGACTGTTTGAAAGTATCATCATATTTGTAGTTTTTAGGGCTACAAATGTAATTTTAAGAAAAAAAGCTCTCTACAGTAAGTTCTCATACCATTGAAGGTATATTTTTGTGTTATAGACCCATGCAGATGCAAAAGTCCAAGTGCTGGACAATCAAAACGTAAGCTTGTCATTGTTTAATGCATACTTAAACAATTTTATTTTTGTCTTGAAATTATTAATAATGTGGTTTTCTGTCCACTTCCCCTATGCAGGTGTCCAACGGATGTGTGAGTAAAATTCTGGGCAGGTATTACGAGACTGGCTCCATCAGACCCAGGGCAATCGGTGGTAGTAAACCGAGAGTAGCGACTCCAGAAGTTGTAAGCAAAATAGCCCAGTATAAGCGGGAGTGCCCGTCCATCTTTGCTTGGGAAATCCGAGACAGATTACTGTCCGAGGGGGTCTGTACCAACGATAACATACCAAGTGTAAGTTCACCGAGATCATTCCCCCTCCCTGCCCTAAGCCCCATGCTCTTTCCTCTCTACCATCCCCTCTCTTCACCTGCCTACCCTCCTCCTCCTTGCCAGTGCCATTCTGCCTCTGTCCCCTCCCTGCTCCACCTTTGTCACCTCTGTATCTGGGGGTGTTGAGAGGAGGACACTGACCTTTTTTTTGATCTTCTGGAAAATGGGAGTCAAGTGCGGGGAGTTTTTCACCTTATTTGCATGCTGCAAAGTAGAGGGTGGAGGCACCCAGGGAAAGGCACTTGAATCAAGAAGGAAAATGAAAATGAAAACCAAATTCTAACCTCCTCTAACTCAGACTGCCTGAACCTTCCTTCAGGTGTCAGACATCCACTTCTGCCCTAATAGGAGATGGAGTGAAAGGGAGCTCTAAGCCAAGTCATAACCTTTTTGGAGGAAGTCTTTTAACAAAGATTAGGTCAGCATAGACATCCAGCAGTAGTGAAGGAAATGCCCTCTCCATCCCGCATTCTCTGCCCAACTCAATTTCGACGCCCCAAGTGATGGCTGTCATTCTGTCTAAAATGTCTCTGCAAATCCACCCACTGTCCCAGGATGGCTTGGAGTTTGTTTGTTTGGTTGTATTTTTTTAAAAAACATGTTAAGTGTCGTTCTTTAAGAGAGTGGGTGTGCTGAGATGGGGACTGAAGATAGGACAACTGTCTTTGGGAGACGTTACCATTTGGTTTGATTTTGGTTTGATTTGCAGGTGTCATCAATAAACAGAGTTCTTCGCAACCTGGCTAGCGAAAAGCAACAGATGGGCGCAGACGGCATGTATGACAAACTAAGGATGTTGAACGGGCAGACCGGAAGCTGGGGCACCCGCCCGGGTTGGTATCCGGGGACTTCGGTGCCAGGGCAACCTACGCAAGGTAAAAACCTGAGCACCCACCCTCAAAACTCTCCATATAGGCAGCCCCTTTGCCCATCTTCTCTCCCAACTTCTCCCCTCTTCTCACTTCTGTGCTCGAAGAATGTAGTGGAGAGACTCTTTAAAGGCTTGGGACACACCGACTTGCCTTGTAAAAGGGTAGTGTTTGTTGAACTATCTCATTAGCCTTTCAAATTTGAGGGTCGTGGGTGTCAGGAGTAGTAAGAATGCGGCTGGTCCGTGTGCGCGTGTATGTTGTGGGCAAGAATATGTGCGTGTGCAAGAGTTAGCTGTGTGGTGCCCTATTCAAATTTGCCATTAAAATGCACGGAGAGCCCCCTTGCTGTAGAAGTGTGACAAGTTAACACACTGACAGACTGCGAGGTAAACATAGTTGTATCGTTTTGCTTTTTGCCATAATTGACAAATTATGTGACTATGAGTAGGGTGCCTATGAAAGGGCAGAGCAGCGAGATGCAGGGCGGAGTACAGGATAGGGCATTGGAAGTGTTGGGATCCCAACTCACACAACCCCATCATCTCTGGTGGGATTCCCTCCACTTCTCTGGGACCCCAGTTCTCACCCTCTGTGGGTGGCAACTGCCTGGAAGGGTGGGGTGAGGATACTTGTGAGCCGGCTTGCAGGGTGTCCCAGGCTGCTGGCTGGAGAGAGTGGGATGAAGGTGGCTGGAAGGAGAGAAGGAATCTGGACTGTCGCACGATCTTTGAGAAGGAATGGAGGAAGAGGACCAGATGGGGGTGGGGTGGGGCCGGTTGGATTTCCCCTCCCCTACACACCCCGAGGTAGCTTGGTCAAGAATAGGAAACAGTTTACTCCGAAGATTAATCGGTATTTGTTGTTCTTGTGACAAGGAGATAATATGCGGGATAATGGGACGTGGCGTCTCACTCCCCGGAGCACGACGAAGCCTGGGGGCTCCGGGCTGGGGGCGGCGGCGCAGGGACGCTGCCGGGGAAGCCCGCGAGTCAGTGCGCTCCCGGACCGGCTCCGGGTGCCCCGCTCCTCCACGGAGCCGGGCTAGAGAAGGGAAAATCGGTAACAGTATGCGAAATATCTGGTACAAAGGATGCTTCTGTCACTCGCAAGAATTTGTTATGGGAACAATCCTGTCGCTCTGTAATTGCTCATTAGAGAACGTTTTGTTTCTCATTAAGGCGACATGAATAAGCGTCTAGTTGAAGGAGACAGCTGTAGAAATGTTCCACAAGAGACCTCTGGACACGATTCGGCACCAATTGCCAATTAGACATGTCAGTTTTAAGAGCAGAAAACAATATAGGACGGACACTGGGAAGATAGGGAGCAAAGCGCTCGCTCTGTGTTTCCCAGAGCGGCCGCTGGGCCGGCGGAGGCCTCCTGATGCGCTGGGCCGGGGCTCCCCTGGGCGACCCCGCTGGCCAGCTAGTCCGATCCCGCCCCGACCCCGCGGCCTCCCGGGGTGCGGCGGGCACAACCGAGGAGGCGCCGTCTCAGCTCCGCCGCGGGCCCAGGCCCAGGGCACCTCTGATGACAGGGAGTGACGGGGCTGAGCGTAGACCACCACACCCTCACCTGACCTTGGAAACGGTTGGATTCCCACGGGCGCACACGGGACACACCCGAGAGACACCTGAACTTGGCACTCCCCAGCGCCCGCCCCCCAGCCCCCAGCGACCAGAGGTCCTTGGGGCCCCTCCCCCGCTGAGTCGGGCGGCCAGGGTCGGTCCGAGAACTCCTGGGGAGAGCGCGGGGCGCAGTGGCTGGGTCTGGGAAGGCTGAGCCCAGAGCCTCCACCCCCCCATCCTACCCCCCCACCCCCGGTGCCAGGGTTCTCGTCAGCTTGGGGCCTACGGGACGTCCACCCTCCTGCTTCCCGAGTCCGGACGGAAGCCCAGGGCAGCACTTTTCTGCCAGCCCCTCTGTTTTCCACCAGAGGTGGCGCCCGATTAGGGCAGCTTTTCGTCCCGGGAGGCTTGAGGGCGGGAAGCGAGAGCCTCACGCAAGGACCCTGTGGCGATGGTTGCGGCGGGAGGTGGCGCTCATTCAGGAGCTTTTAACTTTTAGGCGCCGAATTGCTGGAGGATTATGACTCACCGACTGCCAGTTCCCTCTCGGCCCCCGCAAGAAACCCACTCGGAGGCAGCGACCGCGGGCGCCGGCCGCCGCCCCCGCTGCGGGGGTCCGGGGCGCGGGGACGCGGGGTGCGGGTGACCGGCTTCGGCCGACGCGCCCCGGGAATCCTCAGACCTTCCGGGGCTAAGAAGCCCCCCCCACCTCCTTCGCCCCCTCTCCCGGCCCGGGAAGCCGTTTTGGGGTTTTAAAGAGTCCATTACTCCGAAAGCATAAGGCGAGGTTAGGTCTCAGAGGGAGACAAATATGGTTTCCATCTGATCAACGCCATGCGGCGGTGAATAAAATCGCGACGACGTGGGCTGACAACAACAAGAGACAACTCTATCTAGCCCCAATTCTCCAGCGATTTGGTGGTTTTAGGGATCACGGAGACACTTTTTCTTATACCCCCCACCCCCCTAATACCCAGGCCCTCTATAGGATTTAGTCAGTCTCCTTTCAACAGATGCTACAATGTTTTGATCCGCGCTCCAGAGCTGAAAAGGTGCCGCAACCGGATTGCTATCTTTTCTTGCTTGTTTTCCGCCTCACTGATTAAGACACTAAGAAACTAAGGAATGATTTTATTTCCCAGCGTCTTTTTTTTTTTTCCTTCTCCTCCTCCTCCTCCTCCTTCTTCTCCTTCTCCTTCTCCTTCTCCTTCTTCTTCTTCTTTTATCCTCTCCTTCTTCCAGGAAACAAATCCTATCCCCAGCGTCAGATGGTCCTGGGGCCGGGATAATGGGAGGCGCTTTCACTCGCCTTCTCACGGATTAGCCTGGAAGGTGGAAGGCGCCCATTGAAGGCCCCTTCTTTGCGCGCTCGGAGGGGGCGCCTTTTAAAGAAGATATCTTAATTGTCTGCCACTTAGGTTTATCATATGGAGAATTCGAGATCCAACCTTTAGTTTTATTTTGTTAAAAGCTTTAAGAGTGGAAGGTAAATCCACTAAAGGAAAAAAAAAAGAAGAAGAAGAAGAAGAAGAAGAAGAAGAAGGGGGTGTGTGCCCAGTCTATGAGTGACCTCTCCTGCTACTTTGAAAGTAGGAACAAACTTTCTGCAGGGCACGCCTGCTCTGCGGGGTCATAGAGGGATCCTGCCGTCACCGGTTTCTCCTGACCGGCCTCTAGTACAC